TGGAGGCTTCTTCTTGATGGCATTTTTTCGGGCTTTGGCAGCAGCGGCGCATAATTGGCGGGCTGTAATGTCCGTCTCTGGCGTAGATGGCTCATCTCTTCGTCATACGCTGCAATGCTGAGTGACGTTGGTTGATGAAACGGGCTCAATTTGCTCCGAGGAATCGGTGACGGCTGCCGGCTGAAGCTTTTGATGCATCTCGTTTCTTCGACACATCGCTGCGCCTTCGTACAATTCCGCCAGTCTTAAGAAAATTGACGGAGCTCCTGGCTTCATCGACTCACGGACAACTGCATTTTTGAGATAGAATTGTTCTCGAGCGTTGAACGGTGGCACGTAGGTGGGGTCCTCAGCCATGCGCAGCAGTTCGGTCTCCAGCTTGGAGGGCTTCTCCTCGGTTGTTGTTGGGTCAGGTTCGACCCCCTGCAACGCCATATCCGCCTCCATCTCTTGTAGTATACCGGCCAGCGTCTCCTCTTGCGTAGCGTTCGGTGTGGCCTCGATCGGCTCCATTGGCTTGACTGGCTCGATAGGATGGTTCTCTTCTGAGACCTCCTGGTTCGACTCTATATTGGTGGGCTGCATCTCGTACCTGTATTAAAAAAAAAACAATTCTATATGTCGCTTCAACTCCGACACATGTACTTTTGGCAGTTTACGGCTCGCACTGTCAAATGAGAGTAAATTATATACCGTCGGCGATAATTTTTCCGTTATTACGAATGGACCTTCGTATTTTCGATTTAGTTTATGTGCGAATGTCTTTGAGGCGTTAGATAACGCGTGAGTATGGCGCCACACTGTATCGCCCACGAAAAATTGCACGTCTCGACGACCGGCGTTATAAATTTTTGCTTGTTTAGCTTGAGCTTTATCGATATATCGCGCGACTAAATCTTTGAGAGCGTCCAAGCGACGTAATCTATCGGCCCAAGCTTCTGGCTTGATACTAATAATTTCTTGCTTGTTCTCTATTTCTCTACGCAAGCTTTTTACCGGGGTTGGGTGACGGTCGTAATTAAGAAATGCAGGAGATACTTTCGTGGAGGCTTGAACGGCGGTATTGACCGCGTGACGGAATTCATGTATATGTATGTCCCAATCACGATGGTCTTGGCCAACGAATGCTGCAATCATCGTTTTTAGAGTTCTGTTACTCCTTTCAACGACGTTGCTTTTGGGTGATACGGCGGAAAAGTGACATGTTTCATCCCGTAAACTTGCAAAGTTTCGACTAAAAGTTTATTTACGAATTCTTTACCATTATCCGATATGAAGTACAACGCCGCTTCCCATCGGAAAAGGATTAAATCCTCAAAGGCTCGAGCTACCGACTTGCCGTCGGCACGGCGTAGCTGCTTTACTTCTATCCACCGAGTGAACAGATCCTCAAACACAACGAGATATTTATTCTGCGAACGGCTAGGCGGAAATTCCATTAGATCGGAGGCTACAATTATCCACGGTCTTTCTGCTATTCGACTACCAATCAGCCCTTGTGACCCTTGTTGAATAGTCTTGTATTGTTGACATATTTGACACTGTTGAATGTGTTTCAACGTGTCATAATAAAAAACTTTCCAATAGTACTCTCTGGCTATACGGTCGTAAGTTTTGTCTACGCCGAGATGTCCACTGGACGTACCACGAGCTTCCATCGCTCTTCTTTATTATATTTATAGGATCGAGCAACGGGTCTCGGCGAAAACGGTACAGACGGCCTTCGCAATAACTTGCCGATTTTGAAATTTCTTAGGCGATTCTTGTACATCGGCTAACATTTTCAGATACCACGGGTCTTTGACGTCCGAGAACACTTCAGTCAAGGCGGCAAGGCTATCGATCGGCTCAAACATGCGAGAGAGTGCATCCGGTCAATGCATCAACGCACCTTTACGATGGACAACTTTAAAATCCCACTGTTGTAGTTCTAAGGCCTAACGAGTTAAACGGCCGGTAGGATCTTTCAAATTTCTGAGCCACGTCAACGCGCTGTGATCAGTAATTACGGTAAACTTATACCCCTCAATATACAGCCTGAGTTTTTTTATAGACCACAATATGGCGAGGGACTCTTTCTCCGATGTACAATAATTCTGCTTGGTAGTTGATAAGACTCGTCTCAAACACACGATAGGATGTTCATTCTCGTCATCGTCGGTTTGTACCAACACGGCTCCAAGCGCGGTCGCGCTGGTATCCCATTGAATTATAAAAGGCTCGTCAAAATTCGGCGGGGCTAATACAGAAGCACAAGTTAATGCATTTTTCAATGAAATAAACGCTTCTTGCTGCTCCTCCCCCCACGTCCATAATTGGTCTCCGCGCAATAATCTAAGCAACGGTATTTTTAATTCCGAATCCTGTGATATACATCACGAGTACCAGCCTATAATTCCTAAAAAACGACGAAATTGTTTAACAGTTCTCGACTCTGGGTAATTGACTATTGGCTCGAGTTTTTCTGGATCGACGCGTAATCCGTTTTCATCCAAAATATATCCCAAATAAGTCACTCTGCAACAACAAAACTCGCATTTACTCTGGTTAATTGCTAGTCCAGCTGGGACTAAAGGGGCTCAATACGCGCTCGATCGAGTCCAAAAGGCATTCGACAAAACTGCCACAAGCCCTACCCCGCGACGGCGAGCGCGGTGAATCGTTGGCTCGACTTTTCCATGGGAATTTGATTATATGCGGCTTTAAGATCTATCTTCGATTGTACCGTGCGTTTCGCAATTTATCGAGGACTGAATCGAGGCTTGGCATAGTATACGTGTCCTTTATCGTCTTCTTATTGACCTCTCGAAAATCAATGCACATACGATATTCGGCTGAATTTGGTTTTTTACAAGTACCGGCACGCTACTATAATCGCTCTCTGATCGCTCGACAATACCTTCCTTTTCCCCTTTTACGACGATGTCTTTGGCAATCTGCCACATTCGCGAAGACATGCGACGTAGTTTCAACTTAACTGGCTCGTCATCCACGACTCGAATATGATGTTCGATCAACAGTGTTTCACCGGCTGCGGGGGCATTGTCTAAAATACGGCGCACTGCTTTTCCCACAATAACTTGTTGTTCCGGCTGGAGAATGCTTGGCCCAGCGCACTCCGAGATAACATGCGAGTGATTATCATCATCATTATACGAAAAGCTGTGCCACGAGCTTTCGTTCGCGCGCCATAACCGACGTTTATAACGTTCGTTGCGAGGGTGCCAAGCGAGCCATCTGGATAGGCTGACAGCTGATTGTAAGTACTTGCTCAAATTGAAAGTAATCTCTTTCTCTTCGTACGCTGAGTGGAGCAGCGGCTTGCGGAGATCATAGTCGTGCGCGCAAATTTAATATTCGACAGAAGCCGACCTAATTAGTTGTTCTCTTATCATCACAGGCCATTGCCTAATTAAATCTAAACTATTTTTGTGTTAACTATGTCTTTAATATCTAATTAATCGATTTATGTTAAAACTGAAAACACGACTATCTCTCAGATGGACCTTACTCTGCTCCTACGTCCCACGGATCTATATGATGAAATCCCGTTATAATGCTTTTTTTCTGTTTGAACTGCTGTTGGGCCTCATGTAGTTATACCTCAAGGCCCCAATAAAACTCTCAATCAATTAATCAATCTCTCTCTCTCTTTTGTTCAAGATCAGATATTATCGAACCGTCGTCACGGACGGACTATGATTTGTTCATCTGAATAAAGAAATTTAAACAGAACTTAAATAAGTGTTTTTCATTCACTTTTCAACTTAACAACGGTTGAATTGATATGCTAGAGGTCCATAGTGGTTTTTTACATTCAAAATGAAGCAAAAGAAACATGTATGATTTCTATATTTGTTGAAACTTGTTTAATGTATTATTTTACACCTATTAATTATTTCCGGTTTAAACAATGGTGTGTCCCCTTAAGTCATTCACAGGTTTTAAGTAACGGACGTGCGAGGCCGTAGATGTGTGAACAAACGCACAGCTTGCCCTTACTGGGTATGGGGCCGAATATCCTGTTTGAGACTGGAATCTGGCACAGCGGGTCTAACCCCTAAATAAAAGTAGAACGTCTGTTGAGCTAAATTACCCTTTTAGGGTGGGCTACCCATCGCAATTCAATTTTTGATTACAGTGCTAAAAAGTATAGAAAAAATCCTTTTAAAAACCCTAATATATAATAAAAATCAATTTTTTGAAAATTGAAGGTACCTTCCTCATCTTACGTAATGCAAGCGGTTTAAAGTCATGAATTGATTTTCGTGCCGAATTTCGCTGCAATTTATTGTAAAATCTAAACAATAAAGGGCAGGCAACGTTAGTTGAAGACGAGCACTTGGTGAGAAATCGTGTCATTCCAGCATGACGTGAAAGTAATAAATAAAAGTCAACTAAAATAAATCAGTGATTTTATATTTCTTCACCTAACCTTGTTTCTAAAAACTTTTTTATTCGATGATATTAAATTCTATCATGATTGAAACTTTAATAATCTTGGGAGTGGGAGGAGGTGATGGAGGACTTATGACTAACGTGAATATTTATGAAGTACTTGTATCTACTTTTCATGTATAAAATGATTTTGGTAACTTTACACAATTCAATCGTTCATTAATTTTCTAGGCTAACAAGGAGACCACCCCAACTTCGGGTCATGGATCTGCTACAAACTTTTTGAGGGTACTTTGTAAACCTAGAAAACATGCCTAGTAAGTTTAGTTTGATCTCATAGGCCCTTGGAAGAAATACAACCCACATGCAATATTTTAATATTAAATATATGTCAAAAACCCCCTTTATTATCTTTCAGGGCCCTATGAGATCAAACTAAACTTACTAGGCATGTTTTCTAGGTTTACAAAGTACCCTCAAAAAGTTTGTAGCATATCCATGACCCGAACTGGGGTGGCCTCCTTGTAAGTTTATCAATGATATTATTTTTTGCACATTTCATTATCCACGAATGAGACTCATTTAAATTTTTTTTCTTTCAGGTGCTTGTCAAAAAGAAAGCGAAATAAATCAAGTACAAATTCCTTTCAACATAAATACAGAGGAAATAAAAAATATCATATGTCACTCTTTATGCATCAAAAACTATAATATGAAAATAATAAAAATGAGAACATCTGATCATGAAATAATTCCGTTCAAAACTGTACTGCGGAATTTTCCAATTGAGAAGTAAGTTATCCGAACAAAATTAATGTAATAAAATTTGATTTTAAAAAATACTATTAATACTGTCCTGTGAAGTATAACGCAAATAATGTCCGAGTTAACAATTCATTCTTTCAGCCGACCTTGATATTTTCGATGATTTCGGGTCAGCCAAATTAACATACAATGAACCAAGAATTTTTATTTATCTCTGTGTTACGTCTTTATGGTATGACTTTATCCAACCTGTCTTTCTAGCAAACATCCTATCTTACTACACGACACGTCACCTCTCTCTCTCTCTTTCTCTCTCTCTCTCTCTCTTTCCGAGCCACTATTCAACACCTCTGGTATACCGCAAGGAAGCAGTCTTGGGCTGCTGTTTGCCGTGTTCATAAACGACCTCCATACTGCACTACGCCACTCTTAGCATATCATCTATGCCGACGACACGGCCATTTTTCAGCACCACTTTCCATCCAGGATTCACGAGCTCATAGCTGAATTGAACTCAGACGTCAACGCCGTCGCAGCCTGGGCTGCCGAGAACAAGCTCCACTTGAACCCGACTAAAACCACAGTCATGATTCTCGGCAGTCTCGCTTATGTCTCTTCCATCGACAAAGCTGCTCTGCCCAAGATCACGCTGAATGGTACAGGCATTGCGTACTCGTCAAGCATCAAATGCCTCGGCGTCACTATCAGTCCCACGCTGCTGTGGACGAGACACATTAACTAACTCAGGTCAAAATGCCACTTTGCTCTGTACTTTTTGCGCTTTTACAGGCACGCGCTGAATCGTCAGCTAAGAGCGAGACTCGCAGTGGCCCTGGTTTTGCTTCATCTTGACTACGCGGCCGCTGTCTACAATGACATATCGGTCACGTCCGATTTCAAATTGCAGCGTCTTCAAAATGCGTGTGTTCGCTTTGTTTTTGTCTCCATACCAGCTCGTGAACACGTGACACCTTATCGCTTGGCCCTTGGTTGGCTATCGGTGGAAAGACGTCGCCAATACCTGCTCGTCCTGCTCGCACTCAACATACTGCAGAGCGGTGAACCTAGCCCGCTTCGCAATCTCTTCAAGCTCTCCTCTGATCGTCAGGTTCGCCATTCATCGCGTCGGCAGGCGCCGCTACTATCTTACAAAACCCCTCGCACATCATCGCTTCATAACTAATTTTTCATCACAGCCTCACGCATTATCAATTCACTACCATTTCGAATCAACCTCACCAACACATCGATTGATTATCGGGCGCTTCTCTACAACCACTTGTATTGTCTTGACAAGGCGGACTGGATTACTCGCTGCCACTTCGAGAACATTGCCCCGATTCCACCTCCGCTAGTGAACGAGCTAGTTCTTTGGCCATAGAGAGAGTGTGCTCTGTACGGCCATCATGCAATGAATCAATTGTATCTCCTAAGCCTGGTTCACTGTTATTTGCTATCGTATTTAGTACATTCACAACTTATGTAAGTGCTATTATACTACACTCTGCTCACTACTGTATTTTTAATTGTAAATATTTTTAAAAACATTGATATATGTATACTATGCTCTACCTGGGCCTCATTGTGTGCTACCCCGCGGTCCAAATAAATTTAAATTTCAAACTCAAACTCAAACTCTTGCTCAAAAAAGCCCATCCCCGCTCACGTACGTAATTGGCGGTACTTTGTCAGTACTATGCTCGCGTCTCATCTGCCTCACCACAGCTTACAATCGAGTCTATCAAAAATGCTCAAAGCATACCTTTGCCTCATACTACACCCACGTTCTCTTTCGGGCATGTCACAGCGTCGGACGTGATTGCAGCAATGGCCAGGTGCAGCTCCTCCAGCACCGGGCCCGACGGCTTACCACTGTCTGTGCTCAAGCTCGCCTCTTCCACCCTGGCCGAGCACATCGCACATCTGGCCAATTCATCGTTTGCGACAGGAGTCTTTCCATCTGCTTGGAAGCTGTCGTCGGTTATTGCTCTTTCCAAATGCCCCACGCCACAGTCTGCATCTGATACTCGGCCCATATCGCTCTTGGCCGAGCTCTCCACAATCATCGAGAGACTTGCTCACGCACAGCTCTCAACTCATCTGGCTCAGCATAATCTACTTGACCCCCGGCAACACGGTTTTAGATCTGGTCATTCAACGCAGACGGCATTGCTTGATCTCACCGAGGCGGTCCGGGCGGCCGTAGATAAGAGAAAGGTCACTATCTTGGTGTCTTTTGACTTCTCAAAGGCTTTTGATACCATCGACCACGGCGTATTGATCTCTAAGCTGCGTCGTATTAGTGCTGTGGAGTGGTTTGCCAGCTACCTCAGCGATCGCACGATTGCAGTCAGAGGCGACGACGGCACTCTTAGAACCGCTGCCGATCTCTTCGGGTGTCCCGCAAGGCTCTGTTCTTGGGCCCCTACCTTTTGTCATTTACATAAATGACCTTCGTGAAGCTTTGGTGTCCTCTTAGCACATCATCTACGCCGACGACACTGCCATTTTACAGCATCATGTTGTGCAATGGGTTGTGGAGGGGACGATTTCGAGAGAGTCTGCGAGTTTTTGCAGAGTTTCGCCGACATCGCAAGCGTTCAGTAAGTCAGAGCGGAAATACGCTTGACAGTCACCAGACTGATGTATAACAAGTGACCCTGAAGATGGTCGATGTTATTTGTTGCCTCTTAGTTTACAAATTTTGCAAACTCTACGTTTAGTCCTGAGAAGGACTAGTTTTAATGCAGGCTGTTGATTTGTGCAGAAGGACTGGCTGTGATTAGCGGTGACCAGCTATGACCGATGTTGAGCGGCTGTGACCGATGTTGACCGTCATGGAGGGGATGGTCGGATGGACGATGACGTCGTTGTCGGCTCGGGCTGCTTGGCTGTCCCATGACTAGTGAGAGTGGAGTGACACAAATGCCGATCACTTTTCTGTCCAACTTGTATAGTGGAACAGTCAAAAGTCAAAAGACAAAAGTCCAATCGCTTTTCTATTCTCACTTGTAACAAGTCAAACAGTCAAAAACTGATTGAATTGAGTCGAGAGGCACTTATACTAGTACTCTGAACTCGACCTTTTCTCTTGCAGGCACGACTTTTCAATGGCGACGAGCCACCTGGCGGCCGAGTCGGAAGTTTGAAAAGTCAAAAGGTGGGAAAGGTGTTGAAATAATGAGGCGAGTATTTTGTAATTTAACCAAGTTCATTATTGAGAAGTGGCCCTAGGTCAAAATTCTCAAGTGCTCGTCGACGCGAACGCGAAGACGAGAGTCGATGTGCTCTGGCTGGCTGCCGAGAGACGACTTCCGTTTGCGTGGGCAGGCGCCTCGCTTATATAGGAAGTGAGTGCGCGCTGATTGGCTGATGCCGCGAGGTGGGGACGAATGCAGCAGTGCACGACGTTGGAAGTCTACGGACAAAACGGAAGTCTACGGATAGACTCCTATACCCATATGTACGTATACGGCTAAAACGGAAGTCTACGGGTAGACCCTTATACCCATACGGAAGTGTACGGACAAAACGGAAGTCTACGGATAGACCCTTATACCCATACGGACGTATACGGGTAAAACGGAAGTCTACGGATAGTCTCTTCTTCCCATACGGAAGTGTACGGTCGAAACATAAGTCTACGGTTCGATCCTTATACCCATACGGAAGGGTACGGATGAAACGGAAGTGTACGTTGAATTTCGATAATGTAACTATTGGACTTTTATGTCTACACCCCATAGCCGAAAAAAATATGTATTAGACCCACGGATCAAGTCTCTATTGATTCGAAAATTTAGGTCGAATCAAAATTATTTTCTAAAAAATCGTGATTTTTGTTGTTTAATTGTTCATAACTTTTGTTCCTCAACTTTTTTGACGATTTTTGACGATTTGAGATATTTTTTTCACAAAGTTTATAGCACCGGAAAAAATGTGGAAAATTTCGTTCGTTTGGCCCGAAACGGGTTAAGCTTGAACGATAAAGATTGTCTCATCTTCGTTACCGTTGCTGCTCCTCCTCTCTTGTAACCGAGGAGATATTTTTTTTGAATTGATTTATTTTTTTGCTTCGTATTGAATAAAATAGGAACGTATTATGATTTAAAAATTCACTCTTTGAGCTGTCTTTGTCTATTTATCTAAATTATCAATGATGTAACAGCGTACCATGAGCCCCTTTATATTCATTTTCATGCACATAGCTGCATCATTTTACTGAGCACGTCTAGTTAGCCGCTGGGCTGAGACGCCGCTTGCCTGACAATTATAAGTGACACATAGCACGCGGGATTAATATCAATTATTTAAGGAAAGTTTGAGTGTCTGAAAATAGAATTTAAAGACTGCGATTTGATTCAAATGTGTCCTGATATTCTATATGACCCGTATAATTTTTCATTCTTATATTGATGGTGCCCACGAGGAGTAACATGTTTTTATTTGAGGTAGTTCCCTCAAAAAAATGACTATCAATAAAGGGTCTTGAAATTTTAACAACATATTATTGACAGTACTTTTCATAATGTGTGAGAAATTTCAGGCACTTTAACCAAACCATTTCCGGAATATAATAAATCAAAGTTCGGTATTTTAACATGGGATCCCTATACTTGTGTGTCGAAAAGAGGCTATTCTGTGTGATTATAAAAAAACGCATCGATAAAATCTTTTTAAAAACTAATGGAGATGATTGTTTAGTACGTACTGAAACATAGCACAAAAACTGGAAAAACTTAAGCATACAGTTTTGGAGAAAAGTTAATGTAAAATCATTGCAAAAATAAAATTTTAAACTTTTTGACCTGAAACCCAATTTTTAAGGGTTTTAGGGTTATTTTAAACAAAAAATTATTCTTCCTATTTTTCACGAGCTATAAACAATTCAAATTTAAACAATTTCAAGCAATCAATCTTTGCGATGTTTTATCTCAATACATATGAACTCTACGAAAAATTTAAAAAGAACAAAAAAGTCTTAGAATTTGTCAAGGAAAGCGTATGAATTTTTTCAGAGTTTTTCTAGACATATACCCGAATTTGTAGATCAGGTTCTGAGGGAACTACCTTAATTCTCTTGGGCAATATCAGCCCTGCCAGGTCTTTCGTTTGTTGAACCTTTCGGTGAGGACTATGAAAAATAGAAATGTAGTAAAAATAAAATTTTATTGACAAACAAAAAAATAAAAACAATTTTTTCAAAAGTTTCTTCTGAGATATACATTACATATAAGTATAATTTTCAGAGTATTTGTTCTCGAAATAAAAGATGACGTAGGTTGTAAAAATTTAGGAAAGTTTGAGACGAGTGGTGCTACGAGTCATCATCATCCAATTATCGATTTGGAATTAATGGAACTTGAAAAAAAAGTAAGTGTAAAGCAGTTTATTTGATTTAATGCTTGAAGTATTTGATATTCATTAATGAAAAATTATGCACAAAATTGTAATTTTTGGTATAATTACATGTTCGGTTGAATGCATTTTAATTACTGAGGCCTTACACACCTACTGTAATGTCGCCTACAAATATGCTACAGAATTCGAAAATTCAAAAACGTACAAAGTACCTACGCTTACACTAGCCACCAACATACGCATACAGTCACTTAATTTTAAGCGCACTTATCAAATAGTCTTGGCCATTGTCCCATGAGACATTTCATAAATTTTTACGTCCGTCTAAACATTAACAGTTACTTCTGGTTTTCAAGGAACTTCTCAAACCTCCATCAAACTATTTCTTAAATATTCGAGAGTGTACTAAATCACGTATTGAAATATTTATTTTTAATACTAATAGTGTGAGAACTGGCACGTGAGTGAGCCATTACTTGAGAAGAAGGGGGGAAATGTAATAATTGTACAAGAATTGACTGCTAGTTAATTTTAGGAGATCGAAAAAAAGTAAGAGTACATTGGACCTCCGAAATGACTCGGGTGACACGCAAGTGTCACTTGGTAGTCAAATAACTATGCAAAAGCATAACATGATAAAAATTTCGACTGATACACACTCATAGACACGTATACATACATGCAATAATAAATATCAGATTTGACAACGTGCATGATAGTGCGTAGTCTCGCGACGTATATGTGTTACCGGCAAAACCCGCTTTTAGGCAAAAGTTACTTTTGCCTAGGCAAAAACAGAAATGCCTAAAATTTTAGGCAAAAACCGCAGAAATATATGAACTTCCTAAATCTTAGGCATTGCCCGCAATGCCTACAATTTTTTAGGCAAAACCCGCAATGCCTAAAAAATTTTAGGCATTACTGCGAGCTAATAATTTTAAGTAAAAAATTAATGTAAAGTCAAAAAATACGCATTTATTTGAATACAAAAGTTTTGTTTTTAATGCATTCAGAACTACAAATTTCATCAAATGGTCATGGTATACCATTATCAACTAAAACCCATGGACACTTAATGATTGAAAGTCAATTAAGTCCATCTGGCATCTACTATTCATTTCTGAATAGAAAATTGGTTTGGATACCAACCCCCTTCTCTTTATTTTTTTCTGGTGACCGACTTCACACATTTTTAAGTATAACTCAATCAATTTTCTTGTAAAGTTGGAATACTTGATCGATGTTTCTTTCAAAAGCCTATTGCGCCTACCATGTCCGGTCGCAATATGCACGGCTTGATTGATATCAAAGACATCTTCAAGTGGTACATAGTATTTAATGCTACTACCTGTTTTGATATTGACGATGAGTCGGTATTTATAACATTTATAATATTCATTTTCGTTAGCCCCGGCGACAAACTGATTTTTCCAATTATCGATTTCAATTTCCATTTTTACTTTATTTTAAGTTAAGTAACTAGTGAGAGTATAAGCTGTATCCATATTGGGTTATAAACACAACTAACAAATAAGTTCGACTTAGATGCTGACTAATCGTATACTAACGTGTTAATGTATACAGTAAAGCCTAAAATTTTTTAGGCATTGCGGGTTTTGCCTAAAATTGCTTAGGCATTGCGGGCTTTGCCTAAAAAATTTAGGAATTTCCTATACTTTTTTAGGCATTGCGGTTTTTGCCTAAAATTTTAGGCATTTTTGTTTTTGCCTAGGCAAAAGTCACTTTTGCCTAAAAGCGGGTTTTGCCGGTAACATATGCATAGACAGCACATACGATATTCTATGTAGCTGGCGCGACAGCCAATCACAGTGGGTAGGGCAAACTGACGCTGTATAGGCACTTATACTACCAAAGTTGCGCTCGATCGGACGGACGGATGGACGCTCGGTTTTCACGGGTTTACCCTTATACAAAACGCGAATATAGGTGTTTCACATAAAAAATATCTTTCAAATAAAAAAACAATAATGGTCACAGGAAAGTACCTTGGGGAATCCCCATTTCAATTCCCTCAGATAAACTATTGGTGCTACAAATTTTAACTTTTTGGGTCTTATTTGACTGATGTTGCTTAATAAGATTGTATGCAGCTCTTTTTATGCCTTCATACTCTAGTTTTTTAAACAGTATTGTGTGGCTGACCGTATCAAAAGCTTTATTGAGATCAATAAAGGTGGCAATAACAGCATTGTTAATATTCACAGAACTTGGTAGGATGGGAACAGGCGGGTGAGCGATGAAATCAGTCCACGGTTCATTTGAGGCAAGGCCAAAAAGATACTGACTTTATTCGACGGCCTCTCTTCGACCAACTGACTCTCCATACATATCAACAATCAACATTAAACGGTTGCATTTCACTTGTGATTACTTGTGTGCCACTTGATAGCAGCAACAAAAGAAACTAACACGTACATCTCACTAACACAAGCTTCAGCAATGCACGTTTCACGTTTCAGCTCCAGTACGCGCCTTAAACCGACGATCTGCAGCACATATCAACCTTTTGAATAAGATCGTACATCACTACACCACACACAACACTGTACACTGGTTGAGTCACGTAACAGGCATGAACACGGTAGTTGGTAACCCTGAAAGGGGACCCTCATAAGGCGCTCACATCCAAGTCAGATGTGCCTTGGTTTATTAACGAAGTCTGCTCCTCGGGATCTTCAACGTGAACCTACATTAGTGACATGGCGCCACCCGTCAAAAATCACTGCTCAATCCATCGGGGCTATGGATCTGTTGCACGCGTTTCCATGCATTACTCAAAATCTTAACAAGCATTATTTTTATCAATTTTATCATAGATAATATGCAAAATTTTCTCTAGTGTCTCAGTTATACCAGATTTTTAAATAAAGCAATACTGTTTTTTATTAATTCTTTTATATTTAGTTTAAAAGTTATATATTCTGGTATGCAGTATCAGTTTATCTGATGCAAGTGGTTCATGGTATGCAAGTTTTTATAATATCAGTAGAGTAAACAAGGCTGATGGTTTAATACTATATATCAGGAATAATCTGTCTTATAATGTAACTAATGTGTCAGCGTAATCACACGCGTACACATAAAATATATGACATACGTGTAAATAATAATTCCTACTAAAGGTTCTTTTATAACAATTGACCGGGCGAACTTTCGAGTGAATGGTAGTAAAAATAAAGGACAAGCCGACATAAACTTTGCTTTACATATGGCCGATTCTCCATATTGTTGAATGGCCAAAAAATATTTTTTTCTGCGAATATCCGAAACTTGTTATTTCCAATGTCAGATTTGTCCCAAAAAAATTTTAGGAAAATTAAAGCCTTCTGTGATACTTTTTCAGAGGCCCAAAGTTGGCCGTTTAAGCATTTTTCCGAAATTCATTAAAAATTGCAAATATTTAAATGATTTCTAGATCAGTGTAGAATGACTCAAACAAAAAGTGAAAATGAAATTTTTTTTAGAAATTGTCCAAATGTTCAGAAAAAATGTATTCCTAAGTGATTGGAGCAATCTGAGAACACTTCCAGATCCTGCGAAACAAGTACAAAATTATCAAAGATTTCTCAAAAAAGAATCGTGGATTATTCAAAATACCACGTTGATTCACTAACAATGCCTCGTAGGTACTTTAAGCAGGCTCACAAAACAAGTCCAAGATCCCCGAAGAGTTGGAGAAATTAAAATCCACCAAGTTAGAATTTTTTTAAAACCATGCCTGATCCGGGTAGTTTCTACCTCTGATCCACGCAAAATTGTTGTCCGATCTACATAGTATCTATGTCTAATACTCGTGGATAGCTAATCCACCTGGGTAATCCACGAGAATATCCATGCAATTTTTTTCAACTGGGACTGGTAATACAGATCACTGCCCAGTTGTAATGATAAAAAACTAAAACTCTCAAAGTGCCTCAGAATGTACCCTAAATTACCCTAATAACTATACCAATTCACATCACTAATCCATTTGGTCTTATTACACGGAAAAGAGATTGACCCTTTAAGGGGAGGCTCTCATGAGACTCAATCAAAAAATCGATTTTTTTTTTGCTTGCTTAGTTAGCAAATGTCTCGTAGAATACACCCCCGAGCCCTTTTTACCAAAATCGATTTGGTTAAAAAGTTATAGGTAAAAAACTGGAGCTGTCTTTTTACGAGCGAACGATGTATGTATGTATGCACATTCGCTTTCTAAAACTTTAAACTCGTTTTTCTCGAAACCATGTTTTCTGAATCGGGCGCCAAGATATCTCAAAAAGTACTGCACTTAGAGATACGCTTTTTTTTTATTTTAAAGCTAATTAAATTGCCTGGATGTTGAACCTATAAAAGTTTTCATTTTTTCATTATTATTATTTTCTAGAGCCCTTAAAAGAGCCAAAAAAGGGCAAAAAAAAAGTTCCGAAGTCCGCCATTTTATCAATTTTTAATTTTTTTGCAATTATTTAGGTTCAACCTCCAGCAAATGTCATCTAGTTTAAGAGGAACTTCAGATTTTTAAATTCGGGCAAAAACTGAAGGCGCTAGCTTAGCGCCCGTTGAGGTATCTTTTTTTACCACGACCTCCATAAAACGCTGCTAGGGGATACATAATTCGATATTTTGGTCTGAAAAAATTTGTAAATATAGTTAAATACATACTTTATAAGTATCAAAAATCTTGACTGCATTATTCACTTTCTTCCGTGAAAAAAAAATTATGAAGAACACGTCATTTTTGAGGCGCTAGATGAGAGCCTCCCCTTAAAGATAAAGAAGTGTTAACTATCAGACACGATGCAGACTTACCCTACAGGAAGGCGCGTCGCTTAACCTTTTCCGAAGCTACTTTGAGAAACGTGATGCAGATTTGTACTGTGTTTCGCACTGTACGGTGACATAGTGTAAAAACCTCAATACACGTATATTTACTTAAGGTATAATCGAGGTGTAACGGCTGTCGAGCCGCTACTTATTTTAAATAATATGAGATCTTAATCTGGCGGGGAGAATGTACAGGTAATAAATAAAAGGTCGTCTGCCTTCTACGAAGTACAACAATTATTTATTACGCTACCCTTAGATACTAATTACAAAGAATATCTTAGACTACTTAACATACAGCTACGGACGATTCTCGGCGTAGATGGTGGCTCACTCTGCAACTGGTTGGCTGGCGTTCCTGGTTGGCTGCACTGCACTAACTGCACTAGTCTCGATTACAAATTACACTCCGCCTTAGACTCGCGGGACAATTTAATACAATACAAATACAATAATACGATACAAGTTTGAATGATATAAAATCGCGGTATAAACTGACGTGAGCTCTGCACACCGAATAAGTTGATAGTCGAATCGCGCAGAGGCCTCCGTGGGTCCTCAATATATACTACTAAATTTCGCATGCAAAATTAAGAGAAAGTACCTGTCAGCACCTGCTCATCCGTGAGAACCTGACGACAGCTTTTTTGCTAATTTTTACGAGTTCATTGATCTTCCTGCTAAACTGACATCGCCTCACATTTAATCAATGCTTGATATGGCGTGTCTATTTCACACCTTTGTAAGAGGTGTGGATTTCGATGTTCTTTTCATAGAACTCGATGTTTTTACCAATTTTATAGCTTTGTTTTCTACTTAGCTTGTTGTCGTCAGATCCCGTAGATCGAGGCTAGCGCGTTCGCTCGCAGAGTGAAATCTCATGAATATCGCTAATTGTTTATAATAATTGAGTGGAACGTGACAGAGGGTTAAAGTATTTTAGATATCTTCAAAAGTAAGCACGATGCGAGAAAATGAGTTACATCAATTACGCCAACACAGTCGATGGTTGACGAAAGAGTCATTACATAATGCAATATTTTTCTGCTTCATGTTTCACGAATCAATCCCTTTGCCGTGTAATTATATTCTTACAGCTATCATCCACGTGTCCTCTTATAGGAGCGCGTCCAGCATAAGTCGGCCACCCCGCGCGATTACGGCATTTTTGGCCGAAAGTATCGTATGTTTAGCTCGCTCGGAAACGTTTACCAAGGGTCAGAAAAAAAATCCAATTTCATGGATCGATAGGTTTTTTCCTCCTCTTTCTAGTGGTGTAGCTTGAAAAATTCTTAAAAATTGATTTTGAGGTTAAAACTCGACTTGAATGTTTAAGTCGATTTATCCAAAAAATGTATCCTCCGATTTCAAAATAAACTGCACCAATCAAAAGAGGAGGCAAAAATCTATTGAAAACGATGTTTTCCAGGATGGAGAAATGATAACAACTATTAAAGATATCGAGAAAAATAGCGTGGGTCAGCGTGCGCGGACCTGTTTTCCTGTCTTTCTCTGTTCGACTAGCTCCAAAAATGCTCGAGAAATAATTTTAACACAGAAATCGATAGATTTTTTCCTGATCTTTCGATTGGTAATGTTAATTTTCAGGTCAAAATTGAAATATTTTGTGATGTATCGTGTACACGGCGATGAGGAAGAACGGCGATACTAGATGCCCCCACCATCGCACTGTACACTGGCGATTACTATGTACCACGCTGGTATACGATGTGTGTCAGTCGCTCTGTGGAGCTCGTCACGGACATAATAATAAATCATTCATAATACTATAACGTAGTAATTATTTCAAATCCTGGTAATTCCGAGATATAACATACTTGAAAAATATTGACTTAAAAATTCAAATCAAGTTTCGACTATGAAAAAAATTTTTGGGAATTTTTTCAACAACGCCATTAGAAAGAGGAGAAAAAAATCTATCGAATTACGTATTAACATTATTTTTCCAGCATTTTTTAACGATTATGAGCGAGTCGAAAAGACAAAGACACGGCGTCGCGCGTGTGTCATCGCTGGCGCCCGGAAAACAGGTCCGCGCACGCTGACCCGCGCTATTCTTCTCGATATCTTTAATAGTTGTTATCATTTCTCCATCCTAGAAAAGATCGTTTTCAATAGATTTTTGCCTCCTCTTTTGATTGGTGCAGTTTATTTTGAAATCGGAGGATACATTTTTTTGATAAATCGACTTAAACATTCAAGTCGAGTTTTAACCTCAAAATCAATTTTTGAGAATTTTTTGAGTTACACCACTAGAAAGAGGAGGGAAAAATCTATCGATTCATCGGTTTGGATTTTTTTTCTGACTCTTGGTAAACATTTCCGAGCGAGCTAAACATACGACACTTTCGGCCAAAAATGCCGTAATCGCGCGGAGTGGCCGACTTTTGCTGAACGCGCTCATAGATCGACGCACACCCTCGTTTTCATTTTGTGACGTAGTCGTAATTAGCTCACCTACATCAAGCCACACTTACTTATACGGATGTGCACTCACATTACACCGCTCTCGACTATACATATGAGCATATACACCATTATACATGTGCTTGACGGTGTGAGATGCTTATATTTTTATACGTTACTCATGACTCACTGCCGACGCGTTTGATTTCGGGGCGGTTAATTAATAAATGATCTATAGATCATTACACTAAGAATCGAAAACTAAAAATGGATAGATCGGTCATATTTTGTGTACATCTCCCTTCAAATCATTACTTATCATCAAATCTTAATCGATTTCATAATCGTAAAAAAAAGAAAAAACTGAAAATCAAAGTAAAAAGTAAAGACAACCACAGAGTATTTTAAATGAAGGTGAACGAAGTTGAGAAGGATCTGAGAGAGAAATTTAAGGTCCCAACTAGTTTGTAGAATAATGGTATGACAGCATAAATAATTTTTTTCAAAAATTTTTTTATTTATAAATTATTTTATTTAAGACTTTAATGAATTATTATGCAATTATTGTAAAGAAGATTTTTCTGAAATTTAAATTGACTTCATGACAAAACATTGTTATCTTATTATTACAGATAATAGCAATTGAAAATGATCTTCCTGAACTAGTATTAAATGAATACAAAATAATGGAAAGGACTTCAAGAAAAATCACTAATTGTGCTGAGCATTTAGAACGTATAGTACAAGAATACAGCTAGAGCAATTAAATTTATTGATTTTTAAATAACTATAAATATAATGTTCCATGAAATTTGACACAATTTTATGAACAAATCCAAAATACTTCATTTTCTGATGCTTTAGAGTAAAGTTAGCGCATAAACGCAGCAAGCAAGATGTGAATGATGAAAAGGAGGCATAAATATGAATTTACAACAAGGCTCTAAAATGGCGTACAATACTCATGCTATGGGGTACACTTTTGAATAGTTAATTATTATTTTAATACTGTATTGCCAGATAATAAATGTGATTAAGAAGTTAAAAATATCTATTGATGTTTTTTTAATTTTAAGTATACATATAGAACCTTTCTTATAAATAAAGGAAGCTTATACCCATAATTTGTGATGGGAGCCGTCCAGAGTTCAAGCAAAAGTTTTATTATCATAACTACGTAACGCTACTATGTTGCATATATTGCATATTTTGTGTAATGATTGCCACTCCGAGCAAGCTGTGGCCCATTCCGATTTCGTAAAGGCTGGAAAAAGAGTCAAGGATTGTAAAAATAATTATGCGTATTTTAGTTAACAATTAAAGAACAATAAAGTAATTTATTACAGCACCAGTCACGGAAGTGACGCCTTATCGAAAGCCAAACTACACGCAGCTCCTCATCATCTTTGGTATTAGGCTCGCTAGCACGGAACGGTCTCGATCACGTGACGCTCAGTTCGGTATCGTGCTCTCCTCGCCCTATACATCTCTCTTTTGCGTTCGCTTCACGCACACATCGACTGGCGTAATAAGTATGTCACGATGGATTTCAGGGTGAAGGAAAGGACAAGGGAATATCGCGCACCCACCGGACTCTGCTCTGGACAAGGTGACGCATAACACATCACCGTGTTACAATTTATAAATTATTATTAATTATGGCAAGTTGAGCTATTGTTATGACTTGAATTACATAGAACATTTTTTATTTTTGCGCAAGTTTTGTCCTTCAGAAAGTGATTGCTAAAAAAATATTTTATTAATATTTATCAAAAATAATCATTAATGAATAAAATATTTTATTAAATTGTATGTGGAAGTAGTCAAAATTAATTTTATGCTTAGCTTGAGGTTGCGTTGATAGATAATGATCCATCAAAGAAAATGAAATAACATACAACTTAGTCGTGTCATGCAAACACTTGGAATCTTACGGCAAACAGCTTAGATATCCCAAATACTTATCGCTGAAGGTTCATAGACTTATACCAGTTGATTTAAGTGTTTGTAAGTATTTAACTGGACTTTCAAATGGGGTATTGAAAAAGGCTCTTATGCCTGTTTTCTGAAAAATTTTTTTTTCACTTTTTCAGCTTAATACTATAAATAGAAATATATAATTATTTAAGCTCCCTTTGGTCCCTTAAATGGCTCTGTTTTAAGCAATTGAAATGAGGTTTTTCGTAGAGATCCCCAGAGATCAGCTGGATAAATTTACTCCAAACTTTTCACGCTTCTTCAGTAACCACTATCTAAGTTATTGGAGTAATCTAAGTTGTTAATATCTCACTATTTTAGTACGTTTACTAAAAATAGTTTGTTTTCTGCATGGTGCACATACTTTTTATCGATTTTCTTAATGATCGAATCTATGTTCTTGGTATAAATCGTAACATGAAAATTTGCCTTTATGCATTTTGAGAATGTTGCGGATTTTCTAAATAATCAAAATTACTCAAACGCATATCTCACGTTAAAATCTGAAAAGTTTTTGTTATGAAAACTAAAAATATCTTTTTTATTCGAAAAGTTTAGAGAAAAATTTTATACATAAAAAAAGTCTTGGAATTCATCAAGGAATATCCTCAAATTTTTTCAGAATTTTCGGATATCATAAGGGAAAATCTGATTTCTCTTAGTTTCGAAAAATTAAAAAATAAACTCCAAATAGAGAAGCTTTAATACGTGTTGCATCATTTTGAACGTCATGCAAGAGTTAGCATCACCCATGCCTAAAAAAACTATTTCCTATTTCCAAATACTAATATTTTAACATTTTTTTAAATCTTCAAAGAATTGAAGTTTATTTTATGGTTCTTTTTTCGAAAATTTTTTTTTGGATTCTCACGTGAGATCTCACATAGAAATTTGCGATAGGAACAGCTCTGAAAATTGTTGATAAGACTTTGAGGGATAAGTTTAATAATGAGAACGCCCCTTTTAGCAATAAAATGGTAATTTGACGTGAAAATTTTCGACAGATATTACCAGTAATAAATTAAGGTACAAAATTAATTGTAGAAGATACTAATTAATATTTTTCTTTATAGACTTAAATTAAATATTAATTTACGCAATGAAGATAAAACTTTTACTGAATTTTCATTATCAATTTGTAACGGATTTATAAAATCTTTCAAAATTCTTGATGAATGGAATGTTATTCGTATTAATGATACAATTTTGAAAAAATTTCCGACCAAAAAAAACTAGTTCAAATAAAGATTACGCAAAACATAAGAAATAGATCAAACTTATACTGATATTGAGGACCCTACTTATTACTTGAATTTGTTATTTTCTGGTACACAAATTAAAGTTAAAAGTAAGAGTTCTTTTGCTGTCAATGAGAAACTTAAATATTCATGACGGACTTCAAAATAGCAAACGTGTGAAAATTAATTAATAATATAAACAAAATATAAAAACTTTTATAATGACAGGCCACTAAAATAATATTTTCATTCTAAAAATACTTTTAAGTAAAGAATAGTACTCATCATTTCCATGTGTATTATTTTAAAAACAATTCCAAGTTGTATTAGCATTTACAGTGACGAAAAATTCATCTTAGAGACAAAGTTTTGATAAAATAGGAATTTATTTTACTTTACAAAATTGTATAGTTAAACATGAAAAAATAAAAATAATAGTTATTTTGCCAAAAAATTATTTTTTCATGGTCAATCAGATGTAGCTTTATGTCGCACTTAAAGTAAAAATCAAATTTTTGTACAGAGCGTAATAGAATCTTGAAAAAATAGAAAATATTCTTTGACCAGAAGGTTTTTTCCATAACTGTAAAATGTGTTATGTTTTAATTATTATTATTTTCATACCGTTTATATATAGATTTTTATATATTATTTCTATATATGTAATATATAAAAAAATATTTTCATTAATTTATAGAAAATATAGAAATTAATATTCTTGAATACTTTTTGACAGAAAAAAAAATTTTTCTTCGAAAGTCAAAAACAAAAAAAAAGTAGAAAAACAAAGGAAAAATATACGACTTTTCTGAACAAATGGCTCAAGTGGCGATATATTTTTATAACATACACATTTTATATTAGAGAATTTAACACTAAATTCAACAAATAATAGACGTACATACTTTCCTACTGATCATACAAAATCACCTCTAGTTTGACGATGCCCGTTTAAGTAAGTCCCCATAACAGATGTGACCGAAATCGGCGAGGGCGAGATAGATTCCTCCATTACCGACCACTTACCTGTTATCGACAACTGCCTCGATGAATTATCGAGTGCAGCACCGATCGAGATCCAGTGGTAAGATTAAAGTGGCATTTAAAACAGTGGCATAAAGGTAAGTCCATAATGGTGGTTTTTAGTGAAGCACGTAGAAATACCTAATTACAATACTTAGATCTCTTCTCCGTGAAAGCATACCAAAAATTACACGAGTAGGTATACCGAATTGGGTTTTACGATTACTAATTAATGGAGTATTTTTATAAAATAAAAACTGAATGATAATTTGAAACTTTTAAGACGAAAGATTGAATGGAAACTGATCGATGTTTATATTCCTAAAATCGAATCAGCAGTAATTGATGCAATATTTTTATAATAATTTTAAAACAATACTCTTGCTAAAATTATTTGAATACTTTTTTCTCAACAATTTATTTGTTCTAAATTAACATATTAATTTATTATTATTTTATTTTTTTTGTTGGAAAAATAAATACGACCGCTTTTGGATTAATTCAACCCCGACGGAAATTTTTCTTATGAAAAAGTTTTATAAAGTCTATAAAAGTCTTAAAAAGTCTTACAAATGTTCGACTTTCGTACACCTGATTAATGATTTTAAAGAGTTTAAAAGAGTTTTTAAAAATTCATAAAACCTTGTGGAGACTCAAAAAGCAAAAATGTTAAGTTTTTTTTCATTTTTAAAATTTTTTTTATATTGTTTATATGTTTGCTCGTATACTTTTTTCATCATGACTTTTGACGAGCGTGGACACCGATCAAAAAAGTCTTTAAAAATATTGAAAACTTTTATAAACACTTAATAACTCTTAATAACTTTTAATAACTCTTTATAACAATTATTGTCAATTGTTAACATTTTTTAAAATTAAATAAGCGATTCCTTACCCGTCTGAATAATTCGGAAATAAAATATCAGCTTTCAAATAAATTTATTTATATCATTTAAAACTCTTATAAAGTTTTATTAACTGTTCAAAATCATAGTACGAAATCCGAACATTTATAAGAATTTTTAAGACTTATTCAGATTTTTAAAGAGTTTTTAAGAGTTTTTAAGAATTAGAGGGTCGATGAAGTTTCCGTAAGATTAATATGATATACAGGGTGCGGCAAAAGTATGGAGACACTTGAAAATTTCGCATAATAAGCGTAGAAAAAAAATTAAAAACCTCATAACCGACTTATTTTCCGACGAGGAATCCAATGGTGACCTTGAATTTGACCTTAAACATAACCTTCAAGTTCTAGCGACCCAAAAATCGATTTTTCAAATGGAACCCTCATTTTTTATTGCAGATTTAAAAGGAGCACAAAATTTTACGTTGAAACATGTATTTTGTTTTTTTTTCGAGGTCATTTTTAGGGCGTTACAGATGCAAATAAAACCCCAATTTGACCTAAAATGAAATTCAAGTAAGGGCTTTTTTTCTCATTGTACCGACTCCTTAAAACTGCCTATAAATCATGTAAATGATACTTAAATACAGTTCAATTTTGCTCAATGTTACCATCCACTTGACGTCTGCTCATCCCGTCCTTAGATTGTCTTATATCATAAAAATCAGTAGGATGACTATTAAACAAATGATATTTCGGATTTTTTTGTGGCTTTAAGCAGTCAACGTCAACGAAATTTAACGAGCAAAAAATTAATCAATCAAACGAACTTAGTGAAGTTCTATCGAAATTATATGATGTCTTTGCTTGAAGTACATTACC